AAAAACAAAAAAAAAAGCTGGAAATTGAGCTGTGGCTCAAGTGGTAGAAGACTACTAGCCTTGAGCACAAAAGCTCAGAAACAGCACCTAGGATCTGAGATCAACCTCCTAGATTGACACAAAAGAAAAGATGGGAAAACTGGAAACTGCTATGTGACTATATATTTTAAATAATGATATAGACATCATATACTTTATAATGAGCTGAGTCATATGTAAAGTTCAAATGGATGCTTCTGGTTAAAGATAGTAGAATAGACCCAATATGGTTGTGTATACCTGTCCTCATACTCAGGCACCTGCGGCAGGAGGATTGTGAGTTTGAGCCAGCATGAGCTACATGAGACCCTGTCTCAAAACAGAAAACAAAAAAAGGATGGTGGAGTAAAGGGGCCTTTATTCCAACCTCTTTCTCAAAACTCATTATTCACAACAAAAAGAATTATAATAGTTATCTGTGATCCCTATCTAAAAGTTGGATATGTACTGAGTTAATACTTGTACTGTGATATCAGAGTGAAGGAGGAAGGTGAAGGAGAAAGCTGATAATATATTCTCCTCTAGAGCTAGAGACTTAACTGTAAAAATTACAGGGAAAGGTCTATCCAATGATTTTTTGATTTGATTGGAGAAGACTGTAGGTGTTTTAAGAAGATGGCAAACATTCTCATAGAGACTGAGATTAAGAATGCAGAAAGAGGGGCTGGGAAGGTGGCTCAGTGGTAGAGTGCTTGCCTTGTATGCATGAGGACCTGAGTTCAATTCCTCAGCACCACATAAACAGAAGAAAACCAGAAGTGGTGTTGTGGCTCAAGTGGTAGAGCGCTAGCCTTGAGCTAAAGAGCTGAGGGACAGTGTCCAGGCTCAGAGTTCAGGCCCCATGACCAGCAAAAAAAAAAAAGAATGCAGAAAGAGCAGGGCACCAGTGGCTCACACCTGTCATCCTAGCTACTCAGGAGGCTGAGACCTGAGGATCACAGTTCAAAGCCAGCCCACGCAGGAAAGTACATGAGACTCTTGTTAACCACCAGAAAAGTGGAAGTGGTGCCGTGGCTCAAAAAGTAGAGCACTAGCCTTGAGTGAAAAAGCTCAGGGATAGTACTTTAAGTCCTGAGCTTAAGCCCCACGGACCAACAAAAAAAATTGCAGAAAGGGGCTGGGAAGGTGGCTCAGTGGTAGAGTACTTGCCTTGCATGCATGAGGCCCTGTGTTCAATTCCGCAACACCACATAAGCAGAAAAAGCTGGAAGTGGCGCTGTGACTCAAGTGGTAGAGCACTTGCCCTGAGCTGAAGAGCTCAGGGACAGTGCCTAGGCCCTGAGTTCAAGACTCATGACCAACAAAAAAAAAATGCAGAAAGGCAGGAGAGATGGAGCCAAGGGAATATAACAGACAAGACATACTAGAAAGAGTGCTGGAGGTACACATGTCTTAGCATGAGCAGCCATCATAAAATACCAATCGGGTAGCTTTCATTTTCTTTAATTCTGGAGTTTTAGAAGTCTAAGACCAGGGTGACAGTATGATCAGTCTGATGAGGCCAACCTCCTTTGTAGGTCACTGTCTTACTTGTTCTCAGAACTTTCTTTTTATGTGTCTCTTCTTCTGAGGGCACTTTCCTGTCAGATCCCTACTCTTACAACCTATTTAACCTTAATTATCTCTCTACATAGGCACTATCTCTAAATCACTCATATTGGGGTGACAAGGGCTTCAACATACACATTTGAGGAGCATGGGGACACAATGTAGTCCATAGGAGAAGAAAAGAAGATAGCCAGAGCAGTGAGGATATCACTTTGGGAGATGAGTCCCATTGCACAAGAATTCGAGGGTACACTAGACAACTAATCTAAGTGAAAAATCAGAGCATGCCCAGCAGACTCTTCAACCTGTATTGTATCTCAGCAAATAACAAGCCCCAGTAAAGAAGACTAATAACAGGAGTGGGTGTAGTGCACACCTATTGTTTAGCACTCAGGAGACTAAGACAGGAGGATTGCTAGTTTGAAACTAGCCTGGGCTAGATAGTGAGATTCTGTCCACACACAGCCAAGCTGGATACCAGTGGCTCACACCTGTAATCCAAACTATTCAGGAGGCTGAGATCTGGAAGATTTGGGTTTGAGATCAGCCTGTTTGGGGTCAGCAGAAAAGTTGGAAATTCCATCTCCAAAGTAACCAGCAAAAAGTTTGGATATAAGTGTGGATCAAGCAGTAAATATGCCAACTAAGCTGAGCAAGCAAGCTAAGCAAGCATGAGGCCCTGAGTTCAAATGAAATAACAACAAAAAAAAATAGAGACAATAATCAGAGACAATAATCAATTCTCTAAAACCAGAGCTGCTGGGCACCAGTGGCTCATGCCTGTAGTTCTACCTTCTCAGAAGGCTGAGATCTAAAGATTGCGTTTCAAAGCCAGCCCAGCCAGGAAAGCTCATGAGACTCCTACGTTACAACAGAAGTGGAGCTGTAGCTCAAGTGGTAGAGCCCTGGCCTTGAACAATAAAGCTCTCAGGGACAAAACAAAAAACAAACAAAAAGCTCAGGGACAATGCCCAGGCCATGAGTTCAAGCTCCAAGACCAAAAGAAAATATATAAAGCCAGAGCCTGAGTTAAGGATTCTTTTTATTTTTTATTTTTTGTCAGTCGTGGGGCTTGAACTCTGAGTCTGAGCACTGTCCCTCAGCTCTTCAGCTCAAGGCGAGCCCTCTACCATTTGAGCTACAGCGCCACTTCCAGTTTTCTAGTGGTTGATTGGAGATAAGAGTTTCACAGACTTTCCGGCCCGGGCTGGCTTTGAACCGCGATCCTCAGATCTCAGCCTCCTGAGTAGCTAGAATTACAGGCGTGAGCCACCAGTGCCCGGCTGAGTTAAGGATTCTTGTAAGAGTAATTTATTAGGAGGTACTCTAAGGAAGTGAGGGAAAAGGGGAAAGCAGAATGCAAAGCAAACCAAAGAAATGGCTTCAGCAAGTCAAATTCCACAAAGAGCAGTAATCCTACTTTGTGGTAAGGGACCAGGCCTTGCATCTCATTCCATCAGTAATTGGTTGTGAGTGTCCCTCCAATGTAAGGAATTTCTGGGTAAGATTACTGCTGTTATTTGAGGGCAATTCTCAGGAATAGGGGCATCTGTGAGCCATTAGCTGCTAGTACTCACAACAGCTGGCAGATGAGGACATTGGCTTAGGTAAGGGCATCTGGGCAAAGCAGATCCACTAAAGCAACATCCACTAAAGCAGTGCTTCTGAAAGGGTGGTTCTGGGGAAGTGCTGCACCATCTAGAACGGGATAGAAATGCAGGTTCTCTAGCCTACCTCCAGCTATCCTAACTCAGTAAATTCTGGGGCAGGGCCCAAAACCTGTTTTAACAAGCACTTTGTGATTTGGGTCTGCATATGAAGTGTCCCCACAAAAGTCTCAGGTATTTGTTGAGGGTTTGGTCCCCAGCTGATAGCACTATTTTGGATTGGAAGGTTAGGAAAGTTTAGGAGGTAGGACCTCTGCAGGAAGTAGGTCACTGGAGGAAGGTTCTTTAGGGGTATCTTGTCCCTGTCTTCTTCCTCCTCCTCCTTCTTCTTCTCTCTCTCTCTCTCTGTCTCTGTGTCTGTCTCTCTGTCTCTGTCTGTCTCCTCTCTCTCTCTCTCTCTCTCTCTCCTTCACCAGCTTCCTAGTAACCATAAGGTGACTAGACTTCTTCATGAAACAGTGAAACAGCTGGGCACTGGTGGCTCACACCTGTAATCCTAGCTACTCAGGAGACTGGGATCTAAGGATCTTAACCACCAGAAAACCAGAAGTGGAGCTGTGGCTCAAAGTGGTAGAGTGCTAGCCTTGAATGAAAGAGTTCAAAGAGCACCCAAGGCCTGAATTCAGGCCTTACAACTGACTGAGAGAGGAGGGAGAGGGGGAAGGAAGGAAGAAAGAAACAGTGAAGCAGAATAAATCCTGCTTTCATGTGTGGGTATGGGTATGTGGGTGTGGGTGTGTTCTACTGGGACTTCAGAAGAGCATTGCCCTCCATGCTGTGTTCTTGGTGGGACCGGGTACTTCGAGTGAGACAGTGTTGCCCATCACTCTCAGCCACTCTTCTCAGTAGCACCTCACAAACTCAGGCCTGTGTTGCCCAGTTACTTTGGCCCCAAAAGTGAGCCTAAAAATGTAACTGTGGAACACTAAGACGGTGATCACAATACTAGCCAGCACTTACATGCATTTTCTCCAAGCTATTCACAGTTCTCAGTGCTTTGCTCATGAGTCCTCTATGTGAGGTACAGCAGAGAATCCATTTTATACTTCAGGATACCCCAGCAACTGAGCCCAGACAGTAACTGATCAGAACCAGGACTCCAGTCTTGACCTCAAGAGATGGCGTTCAAATCTCAATTTGTTATTTACAAGTTCTGAGAACTTACACAACTCTCTGAGCCATGATTTCTTCATCTCTAAAATTAGGATAATAATCTTCTCTCTGGGATAAGAAATTTAGTGAGAACACATCTGTAAGTACCTGTGCATGGTAGATGATTAATAGAAGCAATTTTTTTAAAAAAGTAAAATTTTAGAGTTGTTGTGATGTATTCCTGTAGTCCCAGGCTTACAGATTGCACCCTGGATTATGTAGATTAATCTTGTCCTCCCCCAAAAGTGAAATGGCAACATTAAATTATTAACACTGTAGCAAAGAATGCAGAGCATAGTTTTAAGCTAGCAAAATGTCTCTCAAGTTCATTCTTTTGTCATGTGAAGGTAGTTTGGTTTCAGTGTGGAAAATCATTTCCCTCTAGCAGGATTTCACAAGACAATACCACATTTGTCACATGGCACATAGAGAAATGGAATCCCTTTAGCAAGAGAAATTTTAGCTTATCAATTACATTTGGAGATGATAAAACATAGATCATCCTGACACAAATTGGAAAAGCAAATGTAAAGATCACACATCCAAAATAGCTAGATATATTTTAATGGTTCAATAATAACTTGTTTGCATCTTAAAACATTTTTAAAAAAAAATCAAGTCACAGCCGTGTGTACTTTAGGCTGTGGCCGTCATAAACAAATATGAAAAGAAGCAGAGTTAAAATAGATGAATACCAATGATTATCCATAAGTCTGATAAAACCTAACACAAATGACCATTAAGAGACTTGTGAAGAAACAAGTGAAACAGAATTTCAAACCTGAGCTTCTGCATAACTGAATGACAGTTTTTGCTGATCAATGCCTGCTGTCCAATTGGTCAAGGTTATAATGCTTTGGGGAAACCAAAAATAATCCTTTCTTCAAAATGAGTGGGAACAGTGGAAGATTCCAGCTTATCAAAGAGCCAGATTTCTGTGAAATATATTCAAAGATGGTAAGGTGAGTATTCTCTTCCTGGTATTATTGGAGATGTGTTACCATGGAAACCTGCCCCAGCACTACCACCACTGACCTATTTTAATCTTTCAGCAAGGAAAGGGTTACTGTCTTCTTCTCCTACCAGCTCCTCTCCCAATTTCTCTTCTCTAACAACTAGAATTCTTTCAGTGCTTGGTGCTAAAAACCAGTTTGTATCCTTTTAAAAAATTATTACTCTGGGGTTTGATCTCGGGGCCTTTCACCAGTTAGGCAGGGACCATAGAACTGGAGCCACATCTACATCCCCATCTTAGTGATCAATTCTATAAATAGTGGATTTGGTTAGATGAATTTACTTAACACAAGGGATGCCATAATAAACTGCTTGGTATCAGAATGGCTAGAGAGATATCACACTTGGATATGCCAGTGGGGTATCATTGCTCTCTTATTTGAAGACATTGTGCAATTAATGTGGTGGGTACAGTGTGAAGTTAGACATTCTTTAACAGTACACTTACATGAACAGCCCAAGCATTGCTTCATTTTCTGGTTATAATAATTTGTCCTGATTGGTCACTCTGACCTGCATTTCCTAGCTGGGTGTTGTTTACTAGTGGTTCAGCTGGAACTCAAGTTGAAGATAAAAATGCATCTGGGCCGGGAGAAGAGCCAAGACTGGAAGAATCCTCCTGTTTGCTACCTAGAACTGGAGGATCTGTCCAGATTAGGTGCAGAGCTTTTCCAGAACAGCACGAACTTCTTCTGGATTGTAGTTCCAAGGGCCAGGTTTTCCCTGCAAGAGAAATGAATCAGGCATTCCCTGAGTTCCACTTTGCAGGGAATATGTGGGTCTAGAGCTCTGATGTGAGATGGGGTGGTGGTATCTATGCAGGAATTATTAGTACTGCACAGACAGTGTCAGATGCAATGTGAGGTGGATCTGATCACCCAACGATACCAGAGGGTGGCACCAACATTCATCCAGATGACTAGGCAGAGAAGTAGAAGGAAAACTCAGGGAGGCAAAGGGACAAAGTTTCAGGAGCAAAGGATCTATGTAAGTAAGATTTCCTTCCATCATCAGACCTTTAGACCTGCCTTAGTCTCTCCAGCCCTCACATAAGAGTTCTGCCCATTCTACACAGGAACGACCTTCACCTATCCAATCCATTGCACTAGATCAGCTCTCTTTGGGCCCCTAGCACAACTCCAATGATCTCCTATCTTCAGTCCCTACCTACTCTAGTCCATTCTTCACCCAGTAGTCAATATTCTTTCTGTAGTACAAATCTGATGGTGCTTTTTCTCCTCACGGTCCTCCTAGGCCTCTTCTTTGCCCCAAGATGAAAGCTGAAGTCTTTGGTTAAGAACCAGAGCCTTTGCTGGGCACCAGTGCACCCGTGGCTCACTCCTGTAATCCTAGCTACTCAAGAACCTGGAAATGGTCCTGTGGCTCAAGTGGTAGAGCACTCCACCTTGAGCTGAAGAGCTCAGGGACAGTGCCCCCATGACCGACAAAAAACAAAACAAAACAACAACAACAAAAAAAGAGCCCTGAAACCCAAATGCCCCCAATTCCCTACCCACTTCCTTCTCTAACATACCTCAGTGCCTTGCCCACCCTCTTCCCTATTTGTGCAATGATTTTTTCCTCCCCATACAACTCTTTATGGTTTAAGACCCAACTAGGCTTGCTACATCCTCTGAAAAGCCTATTCTTCCACAGGAGTTGGGAAATGTGGTTGGAGAACCAAGTTCATTCTGATGCCTCACGTGTTTTCATTTACACATTGTCTGTGGCTGCTTCTTTTGGTTGTTTCTTTTGTTGTTGTTATTGTTTGTTTTTATTGGTCAATAAGAGCCCAGAGCCTCATGTACGCTAGGCAAATACTCTATCACTGAGCCCCCGAATTGAAAAGTTGGGGAATCCCAGAGTTATTTGGCTTACAAAGTCAAAAATATCTATCACCTGATCCTTCATAGAAAAGGCTTTTTGGGGGAGGGTGGGGAAGAGGAGCTTGTCGGTCGTGGGGCTTGAGCACTGGGTTTGGGCACTGTCCCCGAGCTCTTCAGCTGAAGGTGAATGCTCTACCACTTGAGCCACAGCACCATTTCTGATTTTCTGGTTGTTAATTGGAAATAAGAGTCTCATGGATTTTCCTGCCTGGGCTGACTTTGAACCTCAATCCTCAGATATCAGCCTCCTGGGTAGCTAGGAATACATGTGTGAGTCACAGGTGTCCAGCTTGAAAAGGTTGTTGACTCCTGCTCTGGAGTCCCATGCCACATGGGACATTGCATTACTGCTGATATCTGGGGCTTCTTTATAGTCTGGGAAGACCACTAAGATCTTGAAGTAACATAGGAGTCAATTAAGTTAATTTGTGTATGTCTGGTACTTGCATGTCAGTCGTGGGGCTTGAACTCTGGGCCTGGATGCATGCAAGGCAAGCACTCTACCACTGAGCCACCTTCCCATACCTGCATAGGTAGGGCCAGCCTGGCCTATATGTCAGAGAGCATCTGGCAGTTGGGTTTCATCTGTCTCCAAGGTTTGAAATCCCTATGAAACTTAATGTCCCGGGATCAGAAGCTGTGCTTGCTTCCTTTATTCTCACTAGGCCAAAACCTTGAGAGACAGTAGCCATCAGGAAGCCTCGGCTATTGAGTCAAGCTCCCATGTCTCATCCTTACATCAACATTTCTCACTCCTAGTGTAGAGGGCTCACTCTCCTTGACCTCCTACATACAGGGTCAGACCTGCCTCAGCAATGATGGCTTCAGAGCCCCTCCATTTTCTGTTGTACCCCTTCCAGGAGATTTAGAATGGAAATCAAAGCCTTGCCTAGTAATCTGGGGCAAGTCAGTTTAGTCAGTTCCCCTCTCTGATCGTCATTTATAAAATAGGAACATGTTCTTGCTTCCCTTCCCTTTTTTTCTTCCTTTCTTCCTTTCCCTCCCTCTCTCACTCCCTTCCTTCCTTCCCCCTCCCTGCCCCCTGCTTTGTGTGCAAGTATTGGGGCTTGAATTGAGGGCCTCCATGTTCTCTTGGCTTTTTCCACTCAAGACTCACACCTCTATTTCCACAAACAACGTTTTCTTTTCTTTCTTCTTTTTCTTTTGTCTGTTGTGGGGCTTGAACTCTGGGCCTGGGCACTGTCCCTCAGCTCTTCAGCTCAAGGCTAGTGCTCTACCACTTGAGCCACAGCGCCACTTCCTGCTTTTTCTGCTTATGTGGCACTGAGGAATCTAATCCAGGGCCTCATGCATACAAGGCAAGCACTCTACCACTGAGCCACCTACCCAGCCCCCAAAACAGCATTTTCTGTCTCTCATAAAACCAAACCATCTGGCTTCTGAAGGCAGATAGGAGGATGCAGCTATGGTGTAACTGCTAAGGATTTTCATGTGCATTATTTCATCTCTGCAATTTCATATTGCAGAAGAGCTAAAGGGGTGAATAGGTAGCTGTGTTCACGTGGAAAGCAGTGATTTGAATCCAGGTCTCCCTGAAACAAAGCCCTCTTTTGGCATTGTCTTTCCAGAGCCCTTTGCCCCAAGGTCACCACCTTATAGAGAATCCTGCCCTCCTGGAGTACATAGAGCCTCTCTGGCAGGGCTGCATAGAGCTGGCTGCTCTGGTTCTCCATTGTGTCCACCACCACAGGGCACTGAGGCTTCTGGTCCAGTAGCAGCTGGGCTGCCTGCAGGCGGTCCTGGAGGTTCCGGTGATGGCTGATGTTCACATTGTTCTTAAAAGCCCAACCATCTACAAGAGAAATATTAGTCCCCAGACTCCATAGGCATGGTCCACACTTCCTGCAGACTAAATGTCACCTGCTTTTAACATAATATCCCACATAGAGTGCCCTTGGCCATGATTAGACCCAGTTTCCCACTAAAGATAGGTGACAATGTTGCAGAGAGAATTACTGATTGATCTAGAACTGAAGCACTAGGCTTCTGACTACAGGCCTTAGCTCTTTAGTGTGAGATAGTCTGAGACACAGTGCTTCTTGATCTTTAGTACACATGAATCTCTCAAGGACTTTGTAGATTTTGGTGGGTTTTTTTTGGCGGGGGAGGGGGGGAGGACTCAGGGCCTGGGTTCTGTCCCTTCGTGTTTTCACTCAAGGATAACGCTACCATTTAAGCCACAGCTCCAATTTTGGCTTTCTGCTGGTTAATTAAAGATAAGAGACATACATACTTTACTGCCCAGGCTGGCTTCAAACCATGATCCTCATATCTTAGCCTTCTGAGTAGCTAGGATTATATGCATGAACCATGGGTGTCAGGCTAAAGGAACATTCTTTGTCCAGCTCCCAGAATGGCAAGGCTGTTGGTGGCTGCATCGCACTTTGACAGACAAGAGTCTAGAGCAGTGGTTATCCAGGTGTGTATTCCCCAGACTAGCTGCACAACATCACTTAGGAGTTTCTTAGTAATGTCGATTCTTAGGCCCCAACCTGTACTGACCAGGAATAAAACCCAGCAATCTGTGTTCAACAGCCTTCCAATTGATTCTAATACTGAAGTTTTAAGGACTCTTAATGTTTTAAGGACTATTCCTCAATTACAACAATCTTTTAAAAATACAAATCAGACCTTATCACTCTCCTTAAATCTTTCAGCTCTTTTCCTCTTTCCTCCTCTTCTGGCCTCTCCACCCAGTCTTGAAATGGGGCTTGGGGAAAGGGAAGAGAGAAAAGAGAGTGAAAAAAGGAAGAGACAGATAATCTTTCTGTACCTGATGCATGTGCTTCTTCAATATAAATGATGAGGAAATCGGCTGTGGAATCAAAGTCTTCTACAAGTCTCTTGAATTGGTCGAATTTGAAAAGAAATGAAGGTCAGGTGCAACTACCAAAGTTCAGTACCAGTGGCCTATTGCCTAAACAGAAAAGAAGCCATCATAAATGTAGAATCTGTTCTCAGTTTTCTTTTGCATGTACCATCTTCTCTCCTACTTCACAATTCTGTTCCCTTTACTGCCCTTCCAGGATGGGGCCTGGACCTAGTGGCACTGGTTTGTGCCTTTCTAAAATAAGAGGTTTTATAAGACACTCAGTGGACCACCTGCAGATGTGTGTGTGTGCATGTGCACGTGTGTGCGTGTGTGCGTTTGTGTGTGTGTGTGCTAAAATGGCATGCATATACAGCTTCCCTCTCTCTCCAGCCACCAGAGTAAGGTATCACGCCCCAGCCAGGAGCATAGAAGTTGAACCAGACTTTCCCCCTTCCTATTTACCTCAACCCCAAGGGTACTGCAGTTTCCTCTTTGGGGTCATGCTTGACACTGTGATGGAAGAGGAGAGGAAAAGTTTCTCTAGCTGGGTGCTGGTGGCTCATGCCTATAATCCTAATGACTCAGGAGGCTGAGATCTGAAGCCAGCCCAGGTAGGAAAGTCTATGAGACTCTTTTCTCTAATTAACCACTTAAAAACTGGAAGTGGCGCTATGGCTCAAAGTGGTAGAATGCTTGCTTTGAGAAAAACAAAACAAAACAGGCCAGGGACAGTGTCCGGGGCTCTTAGTTCAAGCCCCAAAAATGTCAAAGAAAAAAGTTTCTCCTAAGTCACTACTACATCACTTGGCAAATTACATCACTGCTAGTCCAGGTAGAGACAATTACTTCCATGCCCTGCCATGAGATGTCAGGGGATGCCCACACCTGACCCTGAGCTGCCCATGCTGGGGCCAGACCCTCTCTGTGACCAGAAAGTGATAGCAGTTCATTGGGTGGAAGCAGAAAGAAGGAACATCCAGAGCTGGGACAGTGGACCTTGCAAAATATGCCTCAGAGGTACAGGAAGGTCTGGAAAACAGGACCTGTGTGAATCAAGGCTCTGAGTCCCCCTGGCAACCTCTGTTGTTCCTTTGGGCTTCACTAACAAAATGCAGACCCAAAGATGAAATGAAGAATTTCAAGATAGCTTTTTGCAGAGCATAAATTTGCAAGTGTGAGGCCTTTCTGAGCGTGGGGTCCTGTGTGAGTCAGGAACTCATGCCTACAGGTCAGAGTCATCTATAATTCCCCAACTTGGACTAGGACAACACCCCAGAGCCAAAGCCAGGGCCAGGGCCAAAGCACCGCTAAACCTTGTGTGTGTGTGTGTGTGTGTGTGTGTGTGCGTGTGTGTGCGTGTGTGTGTGTGTGTGAAATGGGGCCTGAACTCTGGGGCTGAGCACTGTCCCTCAGCTCTTCAGTTCAAGGCTAGCACTCTACCACTTGAGCCACAGCGACGCTTCTGGCTTTTTCAGCTTATGTGGTACTAAGGAATTGAACCCAGGGCCTCATGCATGCAAGGCAAGCACTCTACCACTGAGCCACCTTCCCAGCCCCTGCTAAACCTTTATCACATCTATTGTGGTAAGAGCTGGTCCTGTACTGTGCTATAGCCTTAAGGTTCTCCACCCCCCCCCCCCCCCACCCCCACCCCCAACCTCCAATCCTGTGTTCACTGCCCCTTGAGGGCAGGGCCTCATTCATACTTCTCCCATTTGTATCCCAGATCTTGAGCATGCGCATGTTCACTCTTCAAGCATTTGTTCAGCACTTATAATGGGCAAAGCTACATGCCACACACTGGGGATTCAGTGGGAAAGGTGGCCAGCAAGCCTCTGCCTGCATGTAGTTTCAGGTCTGATTAGTGGGGAGTCAGGCAAAAAAAGCAAATAAGCACATAAGTGAAGCAATTTCAAATGTGATAAGTGTTGTGAAAGAGACTAAAGAAGTGCCCTACTTCAGACCTCTCCCCAGAGAGGGCCTCTGGGGAGCTGCCATTTAACCTGAGAAGCGAAGGAATAGAAAGACCAACCATGGGGAAAGGATAAAGGGCTTTCCAGGCAAAGGGACTCAATGTTCAAAGTCCTCCAGAACAGACAGGGCCGAGTTTGTTCAAGGACTCACAAGATCACTGGCTGGAACCAGAAGGAAAAGCAGCCATAATAGAGACCTCAGTGAAGAATTTCAATTTTTTGTCTTAAAAGCCTGGGCTGGCTTCAAACTGTAACCATCAGATCTTAACCTCCCAAGTAGCAAGGATTACAGGCATGAGCCACTGGTGTCTGGCAAGAATTTCAATTTTATTCTGGCTATATTGGGAGTCATGGAGATATAAAGCAAGGGTAGTGGATTTTTGCTGCCTTAATCCTTAACCTATTTTGTATACTATTGAGGGGAGAAGGTGCTCAGCCGGGTTCTTTGGAAGACAGAAGGGCCCAGGTCTGCTGTCTGCCCATAGCAGCCAAGCCACAGGCAATAACACCCAGGGCTGATTAGACCCTCCCACTAAGGTGTTTGATTGTGCAGAAGCAAGGAGAAAGAAGCACTTAGGGAGCATTGAGAAGTACTTCAAGGGACCGGGGAGCCATCATTAGCGGTAGACCAGGAGAAGCAGTATAATAGATGGGACTGCTATAATGTGTGTGTG